AGAATATCAAAGATAGAAGCTCTGTGTTTTGTGGGTGAAGCAGGTCTGAAAAGTTACCTTTTCCTGAAATTGTATTTATAATTTTTATGACAAATTACAAGCAGTATAACATCATAATAAGTTTTCTTTCCAAAAACACACAGAATTTTTATTTTGGCGGTCCAAGAGGTTAATTGGGCAGTTCCAGACCCCCGAGGACCCCTTGTATTTCACACTTTGGCTAAATATTTGGAAACCATTTGTACATGAACCAGAGGGAAGTCTTTTAGCCAGAAGCTGCTAGTAGTGCTGAAGCTAACACTGAAGCTAAGAGAACTTTTTCTTATTTTTCTATTGTCTCTAATGTTATTTCTTTAAAAAAAAATGTTCTTCGAGGGTTCTTTAGTAAAGGGAATGGTTCTGTTTACAACCATGAAAAAAAAGTTTCTATATAGAACCATATGCAACACCTTCTCCATCAATCTGAAGGAGCATTTCATTGTGCAAACAATCACTTAAGCAACAATCACTTACTAAAGAACCCTTGAAGGACGATCTTTTTGTAGAGTGTATTATTAGGCATTATATTAAAATGAGTGTTAGCAAATACACTAACGAAGATAAAGTTTAGCTTACTTTAGAGCTGCTTGTTAATAGAATCTGACTCATTTACTGCCGCTGCCGTTCTCACTGCAGGTTTTTCCTTCATTTGACTGAGTAAATAGTGATTAGAAATGACTGTTTATTTACTGAATTCAACATATTGAGGGGGGACATAAAACATGGCCTGTGCATAAGTTATTTTTTCCAATACGTTTAACAAATAAATAGAAATTGTGCACTAAATACCATTTTTAAGTTAGTTATAGCTTTTTTTTAAACCATTTTCACTTCAAATTAACAAAACATGTCATTTGTCCAGGGACTTCTAAATCTTTGCATACAACTGTGTGCATGTATTTGAAAATATGGCACATGATTCCATAAAAATGGACTATTCAGCTTACACAGAGTGGCGGAATGAAGGGCTACGATGTGCTGCTGTCTCTACTTAAAAGAATAAATTTAAATGAATAAAAAATGGTCAGGAATTGTTCATGATATATTTATTCAACATAAAATGATATGTTACTATTTCACAAATAATTGCTGTATTGTTAAGGCTTGTCTGCATTGTCAGCCAAGAGTGCGTAGTGCCCTCTGCATCTTTGCTATAGTTGTTAAATAGAAGACCTTTACATGCAATTGACACTTTTTAACCTAGTTTTTCCCCAACTTAGTCATTGCTAATTCCCACCTGAAGTTTAAGGCTAGCACATGCTTCCTCTGAGACCACCACATCTTTTCAAACCACGGTTTTGGCTAGCACCACACTGATTGAAGCAAAAGGGAGGACTATTCTCCCCACCCAGAGCGAGCGAGACCAGTGATGCTCTTTACAGATACCACTGGGGATTGAACCCCTGATTTGTTGATGATAATGCCCAGGAGCCCCATTGATATGTTTCTTGTCGAATTGCCAATCAGCAGCAACCATGATCAAGAAAGGAACTAATCCATCTTTCAAAAAAGACGGTGCTTCTCATTAAAGCAGCACTTTCCAATCAGTAAAGGCCTTGATGAGCCACTTTCACAGCAGTCATCCTGAGGACTGAGGCTGGTTATTAGCATTTAAAACCAGAACCGTGCTGTGAGCTCAGTGGTGACTCCAGATCGTGTATTGATCTTGGCTGTTATGCTGCTTTGAGAGGTTTTAATGAGAAGCATAGGCACATGTTTTCAATGGGAGACAGGTCTGGACTGAAGACAGACCTGTCCAGCACCCACTCTCTTTGATACGCATGTGCAGAATGCGGTTTGCTAACGTTAACGTGCATGGACGTCTCTGAAAAAGACGTCATCTAGAAGGCAGCATATGATGTTCCAAAATGTGCATAATTCTTTCAGCATTAATGTTGCCTTCACAGATGTGCAAGTTACTTATCTAATGGGTGCACTAATACACCCCCTATACCATGACCTTGCTTTTGAACTTTACACTGGTAACAATCTGGATGGTCCTTTGCTTCTTTGGCCTACAGAATGTGATGTCCATTGTTAAGCTATTGAATCATTTGCTGATGTAAGTCCTTATCACTAAGGCACAGTTGTCCAATCTATAAAATCCTGAGCCTCTTTCACAGCAGTCGTCCTGGGTATGAGTGGAGCAGGTTGTTAGCATCTAAAACAAAAATCATGGCGTGAGCTCAGTGGTGACTCCAGTCCGTGTATTGATTGCAGCCGTTATGCTGCTGTGAGTGGTTTTAATGAGAAGCGTAGGCACAGTGGTTAAGAAACGTGGTCTTTCTTCTCGTCCAGATGTTGGTGCTCATCAGTAGACGCAGGCTGAGTCAGACAAAAAGCTGCTCCAGTGGATCATGAAAGGAGCCCCCCTCCCATCCTCGTCCCACTGCAGAGGCAGCGCAGGAGCCTCCACTGTACCAGTGTCTTAATGAAAGGGTTTTCCTTCAGTCTGCAGCATCTCAATGTGACCTATTTCTCCTTTTGATCTCCAAACAGGGAGGAAACACACTTGGCTTGCTGTTTCTCAACACTGTCTAAGAGTATCTAGTAGTTCATAATTATGCAAACAGCTCGATTACTTTGTCATTTTGAAATGAGGTGGTTTTTTGTGGTCATGTTGGTGGTCAAAATTTGAAACTTGACATGTGTCATGAGCAGCTAGCCAAGGAACTGGAAAGAGATAATACAGCAAATACACCGATCAAGCATAACATTATGACCACCTCCTTGTTTCTACGCTCATTGTCCATTTTATCAGCTCCACTTACTATATAGGTGCACTTTGTAGCTCTACAGGTTACAGACTGTAGTCCATCTGTTTCTCTGATACTTTGTTAGCCCCCTTTTACACTGTTATTCAGTGGTCAGGACCCCCATGGACCCTCACAGAGCAGGTACTATTTGGGTGGTGGATCATTCTCAGCACTGCAGTAACACTGATGTGGTGGTGGTGTGTTAGTGTGTGTTGTGCTGGTCTGAGTGGATCAGACACAGCAGTGCTGCTGGAGTTTTTAAACACCTCAGTGTCACTGCTGGACTGAGAATAGTCCACCAACCAAAAATATCCAGCCAACAGTTTCCTGTGGGCAGCGTTCTGTGACCACTGATGAAGGACTAGAGGATGACCAACACAAACTGTGCAGCAGCAGATGAGCTATCGTCTCTGACTTTACATCTACAAGGTGGACTGACAAGGTAGGAGTGTCTAATAGAGTGGACACAGTGTTTAAAAGCTCCAGCAGCACTGCTGTGTCTGATCCACTCGTACCAGCACAACACACACTAACACACCACCACCACGTCAGTGTTACTGCAGTGCTGAGAATGATCCACCACCCAAATAGTACCTGCTCTGTGAGGGTCCATGGGGGTCCTGACCACTGAATAACAGTGTAAAAGGGGGCTAACAAAGTATCAGAGAAACAGATGGACTACAGTCTGTAACTGTAGAACTACAAAGTGCACCTATATAGTAAGTGGAGCTGATAAAATGAACAATGAGCGTAGAAACATGGTGGTGGTCATAATGTTATGCCTGATCGGTTTAGATTCAAATCAGACCACACTGCTGTCAAACACACAACATAGGTGTTTCCAGGGTGAAACTGGAATTTGAAAGATGGTGGGACTCACTGAGTTTACTAAACTTATAGCTAGCTAGGATACAGGGATGACTTTGGTAGCTATCTAGGCACTCAGCCACAAGTTAGCCTACACCATACTCATAATAGGCCAGCTAGCTAGCTAGCATGGACACATAATCTGGTAAACAAATTTGGACATCATGAAGGCTGAGTTTAAGTTACGATCGCAGCATACATAGGCACCAAATACAACAGAGCATTGCGTCATTGGTCCTCCCAGAACTAAAGTTGGTGGGGCACTGCCCCCTACTCCTTGTACAAACATCCCGAAAACATCTTCGATAGTGAAAGTGCATTGAACAGTTTTAAACATGCAGGGTCATTACAGCAACCCAGTGTTGTTTTCCACCTTTGGTTTGGCATGTTGGTCTTCTGGCAGGCAAAAACACCAAACAGCATGAGGCTTAGCTGACTTAATTTTGCATTTTTGTTGGATTTTATATTAGGAAATGAATTTGTTTCATGGCCAAAGCACAAATGTACTGAAGAACACTTTTTTCTGTTCCTTTATTCAACAAAGATTAAGCTTCAAGTCTCACCGTATCTCTGTATTTACTTCTGCGTCCACTTCTAAAAGACAATAACCAAACGAAAATGTGAGTAAACAGTTTGTCTTGGTTCTTTTGCATATGGTTACCCAGATTACAGGACTGTGTTACTGGCACAGGCCTATTGTTTTGAAATCATTTTGTTTTCACATGATCACATATTAATTATGAAGTAATCACCACCCCCCCAACACACAGCTCTGTTATCTCAGGAAAACAGTGTTATCTCTAATAATGGCATAAATAACTCAAGAGCTTGAGAGAACAAATAAAGTGAATGTTATCTAAGCCACGTATCCTCCTGGATCGCAGGGGGTGCTAGAGCTTATCCCAGCAGTCATTGGGTGGAAGGCAGGAAAGACCCTGTACAGGTCACCAGTCCATCCCAGGGCAGACACACAGACATATACATTCACACCAAAGGGGGCAATCCAGTTGGCCGGGCTGAATGCCATTGGACTGAGCGGAAACCGCAGCACCCAGAAGAAACCCACATGGGGAGACCATGCAAACTCCACAGGAAAAGGACCACAGTCACTCGGCTGGGGAATCAAACCCAGGCCCTTCTTGATGGGAAAACGATGTAAACAAAATAAATAAACCCATAATCTTTTAGGACCTCCGTACCTTCTATTCTGTCTCTATTCTGGCTTTCAGCTCTGATCAAGAAAGAACAACTGTTAATAATCAAGCTATCATCATGTTACAGGGTGAAGAATAGTATAATATAATAATTAAGGATGTATATACATGTGTGTGCGTGTAGGTTCCTCAGGACGAGTGGGGGGGCTACCCTGGGGGTAAAGATGAGGAGATCCCTTGCCGGCGGATGAGAAGCAGCAGCTATGTGAAGGCCATGGGGGACGAAGAGAGCGGAGACTCGGACGGCAGCCCAAAGAATTCACCGCAGAAAAGCATGCGGCCTGGCGGCCTCATCAAACCTGTGCTGCAGAGGCAGCTGTCTGACCAGAGGTGAGTCCAGGCATCATCCACTTGCTCTCTGGGAAGACATGCTAAGGGTCAAAAAGAGAGCTTTGAGTTCCACTTTCTTTAGAAATCCTACCTAGATGACCTACAGATGATCAAATTGAGCATGATGATCAAAACAACTATATGGTGATTATCAACAACATTAGGGTTGAGACTTTGGAATGAGGTTAGGGTTAGAGGGTTAGTTAATACCCACTCAGATTTCTTTACAGTTGTGCTGATAGGAACCAGTGGGTCGAAATGTCTACAACACAAATATAGCCATTTTATTTAATATCCAAAACCACCAGTGAACCGACTCTGAGTTTCTATACTGTACAGTTAATGATGGCAAAATAGTGGAAAATCTGAAAACATAGATTTTCTTTAGTGACACTTTCTCTATACTGCACCCTGTCTGTACCTCTGCACCTTTAATGTATTAAAATACATATATATATATATATATATATGTATATGCTATAGGCCAAAACCTTCTCAAAACTATGGTAAAATCTCATACATCGGAGAGCATGTTTATTTTCTGTGAGGGAGCTTTTAGAGACATTAAACTCTTCAGATTTCTGGTTCCTATCACCATCAGTGTGAAGTGGTACCAGCTTTTGAAGTGGAACTGGCATTTTCTGGCATTAGGTAAAGTCTTTGGCCAAAGGCCAAGAACACCACTGCTGGCTTCCTGAGAGTGCGTTTCAGCCACTCTGACGCAGTCGTGGAGGCCTCTGAAGTTCACTTGGCTCCCGACCATGCAAGGTTTATGGAGTGTTTTTGCAATAATGCACATTGACCTCCACTTTATTAGAAACACCTACCTTGTACTTCCAATCATTGGCCACTTTATTAGAAACACCTCCCTTGTACTTCCACTCACTGGACACTTTATTAGGAATACCTACCTTGTACTTCCACTCACTGGGCCACTTTATTAGAAACACCTACCTTATACTTCCACTTATTGGCCACTTCATTAGAAACTCCCACCAATGCCCGCCCACCTGTACTGTCTATGTACCAGAAAGGTGGAGCTACAGAATAAAGGAAAGAAGAAGGGTTAACAAATTGGCTAGTGAGCACACATGCGACACTGTTAGAAGATTTCATGTCCTTATCAGATAAAAACTGACACGTACCAAAGAGGCAGTAATAAAAAACAGCCATTGAGGCTTTTGCAGACTCCAAGATGCGACAATGAAGTCCAACTGTATACAGCCACTCGCTGGCCACTTTATTAGAAACACCTACGTTGTATTTCCACTCACTGACCACTTTGTTAGAAAGACCAACCTTATACATCCACTTACTGGCCACTTTATTAGAAACACCAACCGTATGCAGCCACTCGCTGGCCACTTTATTAGAAACACCTACCTTGTAGTTCCACTCACACGCCACTTTATTAGAAACACCAACCTTGTACGTCCACTCACTGTCACTCTTTGCTACAGCAATCATAGGTCAGTTTCTGACCACAGAATGCTGTTAACCAGACATTGGTGTCATTATTAGGTTGAGAGTGGTTTGCCACCCAAAATATCCTGCCAAGAGTGGCTCTGTGGACAGAAACTTACCATTGAATAAGTGCTAGAGGATGAAACTATGCGTCAGTAGGTCTACAGCAGTCTTCAAATCTGGACCTTGAACCCAGTTTCTGGATCTGTATCTACTGGTGGTTAACTGACCTGTTGATGTGACTGATTGGCCAGCTAGTGTCATACATACCAGCGCTTACAAAATCCAGGACCAGAAGCTGGATTTGAGATCCTCAGGGCTACAGTCTGTACACCAGTCTAGTGGAACTAAGGGATGGGTTTCTAATGAAGTGGCCAGGATCGTGTAGCTGAATAATGCAGAGTTCAGAAGCTGCACGTTAGAATTGAAGGTGTAAATCAACCGCTTTGACTGGAAGAGTCTAGAAGAACATCATGATCCAAGCACAGTGCCTGGGGTCAAAACACATTAATATATTAATATGTGAACTTAATATTAAGCGTAAGATGTATGAGCTCTAAGATTGTCTTGCTGCGGTCAGTTTGTGTACTTTTCTGGCAGAGTGCAGGACACTGTGTCGATTGTTTGATTGTTTTATGAGTTTTATGCATCATTCACTCCATTCATAATTTATATTACATGTTGCTAGGCAACAGTGGACTCCCATTGTGATGTAATAGTGGGACAATGTTGTAACCTTAGTGCTGGAATGCCATTTCCCCGGCGACTAGATTGTGGAGGCGGAACAATCCATCACACACTGAACTGCAGCCCCAGATGATGAATTTCATTCCCAAACACAGTGTATCTATTTAAAGCAACGTAGCATAATTAAGGATTTCATAATTATTTAGACACCATAGACAAGTATTTCATGTCATATTCTTCAGATTTAAATAAACACAGGCATGCAAAAGGACTCATAAATGTATTATAGTAATGTATTAAAATAAATTTATGAAAATTAAAGTCAATTTTATACAGAAACAAAAGGTCAAAATGCAGTATTGCCCTCAAAAATGAGATTAAAGGGCCCATATTCTACGTTTTCTTGTATTGTTTTCTTCCCTGAGAGGTGAGCTCATGGCATTTGAATGTTTTTATCTACCAAAATCAGTCATAATTTATTGTACATTTTCCAACCTCTGTTTTTCTCTCATAATAGACCTTTTTTCACAGTCACTGCATCGTCGCTTCAGCTGTAAATAGTAGCATTATCGAACTTCCCCCTGCACCGTTTAACAGAGCGGCAATAGAGGGTCGCCGGTTTTTAGCCTCCCTCAAAAATCTCATTTCAGCCTCAATGCAGTTAATATTAGAGCAGTTGGCACGTCTGATAGCTCCTCCAACACCCTTCGCGTCTGCCGCTGTGGATTCTGTTTACTGGTGGGCGGAGCTCAGGCCGAGCCCGGTAAACGGAGTACACTGCGGCAGACGACTGTCGAAGTTGAACATTTTTAAACTTGATCGAGTGGAAACTTGTGTAAGGCTATTTGGTTGAATTATTGGTGCATTTAGGAACACAGCAATGATTCCGGGCAGTATCAGCCATTATTTACAGTGTTTAACACTACTATTTACTCTTCTGCATTAACGAACAGGGAAGTGTGAAAATGGTCTATGAAACAGGCCGTTTTCGTTACTGTGCCTTTAAGACTGATATATGTAAATGACCTCTGTCCTTATATGAAAAGCAGCCCAGGCTGAAACACTTTAGCATGAGTGGGTGGAGCTTAGCTCCTATATGCTAAATAGGCATCTCCAAAATTGTAATTTTACAGGAAAAGTAAAATGTTCTTAAAATGTAATGGAAGTTCATTTTATGCTTATTTTTGTAGGATTTCTATTCTTCCATTCACCATAGGGTTTTCACCCAATTATGTAGAAAAATGAAAATGGAGAAAAACATTTTTTTTCTGTATCAACAATACGTAAATGTAAATGTGAGTGGTCCGTTTTGAAACCGTGTTCGCATAGAACAGGAGTCGGCCACCCAAATGTTAAGAAGAGCCATTTTAAATAAAAATCAAACCACCTTGGATGTCACAACTTTTTATATCCATTTTACTATCTTGTCTGTAAATGTGTCTCAGTATGTGCTAATGTACTAGTTCAGGCTAAAAATATAATATAAATGAAAACGCAGACTTACTTTGCTCTGCTTTAAGCTTTAGCCCAGCTATAGCTGCTTTTCTAGAATCTCTGGCAGGAAACCTTTTCTCAAAAGTAGAACAGTTTCGTGTAAAATGTTTCTGAACGTTTGACTTTTCATGAGGCTGAAGTCGCTTCTCATTCGCCAGCTTCTTGTTCGAATTTTCCCGTTCCACCCTAAGTGTTGCCTGATGCGCCAGAATGTAACTGCTGCACCGTTTGGTGGAACGGGACAATTCGAACAAGAAGCTGGTGAATGAAAAACTGACTTCAGCTTTGTGACTTTGTAGTGTTTGACAGTTTCTCACTGCAGATTAAACATATCAGGAAACCAGCTGGAGTGATTAGTAGTGCAAATAAGTCCATTCGTCTTCAAATTATCGATGTTCTTCTTAAATCTTTCGCTTTGCCTTTCCGCTAACTACTAGCGCCAATCTTCAGAGTTAAAGGTTGGTGATTCGCAGTTCTACATTAACTCCAGTGTTTAAGACCATTTATTGTTTAAACTGTGTTGAACGATCAGCAGAGCTTTATTTTACTGTAAAGGAGGGTTATTTTATTTTTACCTAAAAGGCTAATTTTGCTGTGGAGCCACAACAGGGCAGCAAAAGAGCCACATGCAGCTTAGGAGCTGCATGTTGCCGACCCCTGGAATACCACATCAAACTCTTCTTTCAAAAAAGTGAGGAAAATTCAGTTTTTCCTAATATGGGCCCTTTAAAGTTTCTTATGGTCATTTACAAAGAGGACGTTTAAAGCAGATAATTAGCAGCAGGTAACCTAATTAACCCTTAGAAGTCTAGAGCTCCATAAATAATGACGTAGCTATGTAATGAATATACATTTACATGCGATTTACAGTAACAGTCAAATGTTTGGACGGATGCTTATAGAAGGCTTTTCTTTTTTTTTTAAGGAATGGATAAAAACAACTGGCATTTACTGTGTTTTAGACTGAAACTGTTCAGATACTGCACTGTCGCCTTTATCACACCCCCACCGCCCCCAATGGCAGCCATTGTCTCATGCTCATCATCTCAGAGCTTTCGGGCCGTTCTGCATGACACAGTAACACAATGGCACGAATCCGGCCGGTCCTTCCTCTCAGTTTGAGTGCGGTTTGTGAAAAGAAGCCTAGCTTAATTAACTCTCCTCTTCAGAGAAAGGACGTGCGGCGCAGCACTCGCCGCTGATTATAAAGACTTCAGCTCTGCAGGACGAGCGTTACGGGGCCGGGTAGGAATATTCTAACAGGCCGAGTATATTACATCACGTCCTGGCCTTGTTGGTTTCTGCCGAGTCAGCGTTCCACGAATGCCGAACAATGCACTCTGCTGAATTAATTT